GTGCTCGTCTGTGGAGTTGTCGAGAGTTGGAGACGGTCCCGAGAGCGCCCCTCTTCAGTGACCATCCCGCAGGCGCACTGACTTACTGACCGGGCTGTGGCTTCGCCCCAGGGGCAGTGAGAGGCATCCGCCTGCCCTGCTGGGCAGTCTGGCCTGGTAACGAGGGGGTTACTCAGCCTCCACTATCCACCACAAGGGAGTTCCCCGTGGTTAGAGGAACTGCTCTGTTGCCTGGTAACTCCGGGTCAGTGGATGCTCGGGAAGCCCATTGGAGAGGGGTTTGGGTATTTGGAGGGCGAGGAGGGCAAGAAAGTTGGCAAGTTGCTGGGAGAACTGCAGCTTGGCAGGAGGACTCGAGCCCACGCGCCCATCATGTGCTTGGGTTAGAACTTTCATGTTCCATCTGCCTTTTCAGCCCTGGGCCTCAGAACAAAGAGACAGTGAGCTGGCCAAGGGCAAGGAGGGTCCCGCTGGGGTGGCCACTGTGCCAGCAGGGGACCCCTCGGGGTCTGGGTCTGGGAGGTGCAAGCCTCTGCTTGCTCTCTGGGTGACCAGAGCCTCGGAGTTCGGGTTTGGTTCCTACCTTGAAAGTATTGTTGATCTCGAAAGGTTTGAACTGCGGCTACTTAGGTGGGGTTTCTTGTATTAGTTCAAACCCGTGGTGTTCGAGGCAGAACTATGTTTTCCGTCTGGAGGGGAATCGGCGTATGCAGAGGGCCAACTTAAGTCACATGGATTTTCAACTGTGCAGTGGTTGGCAGCCCAACCCCACACTCTTCAAGGGGCAACTATATATTTGACTAGAATAAAGTCATAAACAGCTGGAAATTTTGAGAGCGTAACCTCAAGGCAAGCAGGACCATCTCCAAGACCTGCTTGCTTGCTTTATCTTTTTATTTTATTTGTTTGAGAGAGAGAGATTTATTGTAAGGAACTGATTCATGTGGCTGTGGGCCAGGAGCTGGAGACCCTGGGGGAGTCTGGTGGACTCTAGTCTGAGGGTGGAGATTCCTCCTCCAGGGAGCCTCACGTCTTCTTTATTTATTCACCCTCACCCAAGGCTTCTGTCATCGGTGTTTAGACAGAATGGAAGGGAGGGAACGAGAGAGAGAAACATCAATGTGAGAGAGACACATTAATTAGTTGCCTCCTGCACGACCCTGGCCGGGGCCAGGAATCAACCCTGCACCCAGGTACGTGCCTTTGACCAGGAATTGAACCCATGATCCTTTGGTCCTTGGGCTGACACTGTAATTGCTGAGCCAAACCAGCTAGAGCATTCTTTATTTTTTTTAATATATATTTTTATTGATTTTAGGGAGAGAAAGAGAGAGAAACATTCGGTTGCTTCCTGTATATACCCCGACCAGGGATCAAACCTGAAACCTGGGTATGTGCCCTGACCCGGAATCAAACCTGCGACCTTTCGGTGCGTGGGGCAACACTCAGCCAACTGAGCCATACTGTTTGGGGCCAAGACATGCTTTCTAACGCATCTGCTATCCCAGTGTGGACTTGAAGAGCCTTGGTAGCTGTCCCTGTGCAGTGACCGTCATCCTCAGACCACCTTCACCGCCCAGTGTGTTTGTCTTGGAAATGGACCGAGTGGAGGGGGGGGGGGTGTGTGTCTCTGCCCGCGTGTCACACACATTGCTGTGGCCTTTGCACTGCCTGCTGGAGCCGCCAGTCTGAGCCGCAGCCCGCGCCTGCCCCATGCAACATTAGTGTATCAATCACCCCAATCAGATTCCGGTGTTTACTCTGCTCCGGCCGTGACAGGAGCCGTCGCTGAGTGAGCTCCTGCCGGGGAGGCTGTATGGACTGGTTGTGCGTATTTTGAAACTCTGGTTGTCACATTTAAAATTATACACGGTGTGAGTACCTGGTTCAAACGAGGGGGAAGGCAAAGCATTCCTTCCTGTCACAGCCCCTTCACTCTGTCATGTCATCCGGCTAAAAATAAACTGAGGCGGAATTGGCAGCTTTCAGTTTGGGGGTGCAGCGCTCTCCACTGGCGGCCTGTCTCCTGCCGCTGCCAAACCACACTCCAAGCCCTGGAGGCGGCGTCTCGGCCAGGGTCCCCGGCATCCCACGGGGAGGGTCCCGGGACTCAGAGCCCTGCCCTGTGGGAGCAGGTGGTGGACCAGCCTCAGAGTCAGTCTGGTTCCTGTGTGGCCTTGGGGGCGTCACTGGCATCTCTGAGCCTCAGTCTCCTCATTTTAACCGGATTGACCACAGTCCACATGCCAGCCACCAGCTGACACCTCTAGGTCATGTTTCACTTAATCCGTACGAAACCCTGAGAGTTATGTGTGAGCATCATCCCCGGAAACACTGGGGCACTCATTTTGTGTCATGGAGCTAATGACAGAGCCAGGTCCCAGTCCCCGGGTCTCCTTCATCCTCTCCCCGCTCCTTCCTCTGGTCATCTGCCCCCACCCTACTAAACATTTCTGCGTGACCACAAAGGACTCCCCATGTCACATCGTGGCCATTTGTCACCCGTGATCATGCCGGGCCTTCTCTTCACGCCTGACTGTCCCACCCTGGACCAGAGCCTGGCGGGCAGAGCGTGAGCGTGGAGTCCCTCTGACCTGCATCCTGGCTTCTGCGCTCACAGCCGGGCGGTCTGGGGCAGCTCCTCACCCTCCTGGAGTGCCTTGGTCTCCCTGCAGGAGGACGACCACCTGCCTGCCTCGCTGAGCAAAGTCTGGATGAGACAGCACAGCCCAGAGGCTCCCCTGGCTGCTCGTGCGCTTCTCGGGTCCTGCCCCAGCGCACACACCTCATTGCGAACCCCAGCCCTCGTGTGGGTCTTCATCGTCCCCCGCCCAGATCTCCTTCCCAACCAAGTTGACTGCCTGTTTTCCCGGGGAAACCCGCTGTCTGACTCAGATCTGGCTGCCTGAACCCTGCGCCCTGGGGTGTGGTGTAACGCGTGGCCGCGCGGCCTGGCGGTAGGTGGTCACAGCTTCTGCAGCCTCTGTGATCACAGTGTTGGTCCTGTTTAAATTTGGGAGTTTTAAAGAAGTTGTTATATTTATTTTTACCACAAGTTCAATCTAATTTATCTTCCAGTTACTACAGCATAGAAAATGTGAATATACGTGTTGAAGGTGACACTTGCCTCTTGTAAGAACCCAAGAAACTGCTGCCCAGGGACACCGACACCGCCACTTAGCTGCTGGGGAATTGCCAGCACGGCAGTGGGGGTCTGGTGGTCATGGTGCTGCTTCTGTTTTGGTTAAAATCCTGCCTTGAGAAACATTATTTTATTTTATTTATTTATTTTTTTTTAATTTTAATTTATTTATTTTTTGTTACAGATGTTTCTCCTTTTTTACCCCGTTGGCACCCCCCTCCCCACCCCACCCACAACCCGTCCCCGGCTTTGTTGTCCATGTCCATTGGTTATGCATACAAGTTCTGTGGTTTATCTCTTCCCACCCCCCAACCCCTCTTCTGAGGGATGTCAGTCTGTGCCCTACTTCCATGTTTCTGGGTCTACCGTATTCCTCAGACTGTTATGTTCATTATATTCCGTATATAAGTGAGATCATGTGGTATTTGTCTTTTTCTGCTTGGCTTATTTCTCTTAGGATAATACTTCCCAGGTCCCTCCATGTTTTCCCAAAGGATAAGAGATCTATCTTTCTTACAGCTGCATAGTACTCCATTGTGTATATGTACCACTGCTTTTTTATCCATCCGTCTACTGATGGGCACTTGGGCGGGAGAAACATTATTTTAGTCTTTAATTTGCATAATTATTTTTCCTGGGTCTGATTGAACTACTACAAATTTCCCCCTCTGATCTGATTGGTAAGAGTTGTTTTGTTGGTTTGTTTCTTAATCCTCACCCAGAGATATTTTTGTATTGATTTTTAGATAGATGGAGGGAGAGGGGTAGAGAGAGAGAGAGAGAAACATCCATCTGAGAGAGACACATTGATAGGTTGCCTCCCACGTGACCCCGACCAGGGCCGGAGATCGAACCTGCAACCCAGGTACGTGCCGTTGCCCGGGAATTGAACCTGACACCCTTGGGTGCGAGGGCTAGGTGGTAAGGTCCTTTGAAAGCAGGCACAGGCACAGGCACACCTTGTTTTTTTTTATTTGGCCTTGACTTACGGAGTGTCACAGATGTGTCTTACACACTGAAGGCAGCCCCTCTGCCGGAAAAGATGGCAACTCGCTTCATTGCGGTGGCCTGGACCCCAGCCTGAAATGTCCCCAAGGTCTGCATGTACCAGGACTTGGTGTCTGAAATTGCCGTTCAGCCTTTGGCAATTCCATGTGGGTCAGGGTGGGGAGAGACCTCCCTAGAGCCCTGGCCTGTGGCCCAGAGAGCTGCAGTCCGGCCTGGTGCAGACGCTGCCCGCTGCTGGGCACCCCTGGGTGCAGACCCTTCCCCGCTGCTGGGCACCCCTGGGTGCAGGCCCTGCCCCGCTGCTGGGCACCCCTGGCTTTGGGTTTTCTGGGTCAGAAGTATTTACAAGAGTCTCGGTCAGTGAAGAGGGTCTGTGACTGGTTCCCCAGCCCTCGCTGTGTGGCCCCTGTTGGGCAGGCGGGGCTCAGAGCCCTGGAGGTGGCCCGGCGCTTTGAGCTGTGCAGGGTGGGGGACCTGCCAGCTGCTCCCCCAGCTGTGGGGTTGAGTTCGGTGGGTTTCTCCGTCCTCTGGCGCAGGGCTGCATCATACATCTTGCCTGCCTTCAGAGTGGGAGTGTGTAGCATTCTTTTTTTCCCAGGAAAACAACACAGAACAAAGCTTCACTTTTAAAAATGCCGTGCTATTTTGCCACCATTATGAAAATCTGTCATTGCCGTATCTAATCTTCTGGTGCACAGAATATCAAAACAAGCACTATTGAAGGGATTGTGCTTCTGTTCATGCAAAATGTCAGTTCCACCGTCTCGGAACCAGCTGCTGTGAGCCTCTCTCCAAACAGGAAAGGAAAAATAATAAAGTTTCTCTTCCCTCTGCTGTTACTGTTCCTCAGGCCTGACCTTCGGAAGAAGACCCCGAGGAGACGCCTGGCGGAGATGCTGCAGTCGGAATACTCCAGTGGGCTGGAGGCTGGCGTCGCCAAGGTCAAGAAGCTGAAGAAGCCTGGGGCGCCCGGCGGCCAGCCACACAGCGCCGTCTGAGGCCGCCCGCGGCCGGGGGAAAGGAGAGTGCTCCCGCAAGACAGAAGGAACCAGAAAGGCTCACGAGGGACAGGACTTCCCAGAAAGTGTTTCTACACCGACACCACGGGACTGGGCCCACGTCCTGTGTGCGCCTTTCCCTGAAGACGGTCCTGAGATTCGCACAGCCCTGCTCTCGGGGGGCGTCGGGGGGCGGGAGCCGCGGTGTAGAGTAGCCTGTACCTCGTAGCCTCTTACGCTTCTGTTGTTCTTCGGGGCCCACACTTGTCCTCACAGACCACGGCGCCGGGCGCCCGCCGGCAGGGACGCCACCTGCCCTACACGCGGACCGGAAGTCCCGCAGCTCTGCACCTGCATTCATCAATTTTGTAAAATAAGGTGTCAGAATCTGGGTTTAAATTTGTAAAAGAAGAGTATTTATCAATTCCCCTTGCCGAAATCCACACGCTTTGTGAGAGGACCAAAGGGGACTTGGTGGGTCAGAGCGGCTCTGGGGCTCCGTCCCAGGTCGCTCCTAACTCCGTGTCACGGTCACACGCATTGCTTGACCCTCAGGCCCACGGAAAACTTGCTCTCTCAGGGCTAGTTGATTTACTGTTGCCTTTCTGTTGTGTGCCTTTGAAGTCAAGAGGCACCGAGGGCCTGAGCTTTTTCTCCCAGTGAATTCCATCTTGTCTCCAAGGGTCTGGGGTCTTTGTGTTGTGGCCTAGGCCTCCGCTGCCCCTCCCCCGTTGTGTTTTCTGGGAGGTTTGAAAGAGGACCCCTGTGGCGTATTGATTTCTCAATAAATGTAAGATTTGGTCATGGGCAACTCCAGGGGGTCCGGAGGACAGGGCTGGGGTCCCAAGGACAGGGCTAGAGCCCACAGCACCTCGGTCTGGCCCCACTCTGTTCTTTCTCCCACTCTCCCTGTCCCCTTTTCTCCCTCGAATTCCTGGGATGAGTGTGGGGCCCCCCTGCAGTAGGCCCTCCAGACTCGTGTGGGCACCAGGGAAGGGTCAGCGCCCTCCCTGCCCCTGTCTGGGGACAGCGCATAGGCACGGAGCTTCCACAGGAAGAAAATAGGCCTTCCCAGAGCTGCTGCCACAAGTTAGTAGGGACTCCTGATGACGTTTGTAACGACAATAAAACTCAGCACACACCATGCTGACCGGGCGAGCTGGCCCTTTATTTCCATGTGATGGTTCGTGTGGTTTGGGTGAGAAAGGGGGATCGGACCATAGATAAACCCTGCTGTGTGAGAAACAGGATTAAGGCCAGTGATTGGGGATGATCAAAGAGAAACCCGCCTTTTCCCCCATTAAAGGGCAAATCCTAGAGGTCTGCATTCCGGGGGGAGGAGGTGCTAGAACCTCGCAGAGCGTGTGAGTGACTGTGATTCCGGGATGAGAACTTGCACTCAGTTTGCTGACACTTCCGTGAGGGTTTCTTATCATGGCAGAATCAGTCTGTTACCCCCAGTTAATAAAGAAACACGGATTTAGCAGATTTAGGGTTAATATTATCTAAATTTAAATAACCTTAAAATAAATCTCTTTTTCTCTTATTACAGCTCTTGACAGATTATACATTTCAGGCATCAATTAGGCAAAGCTTTAGCCTAATTCCACTGTACATATTCTAATTTTGTGTGTATTTTCAATCGTACCTCCCCCCCCCCCCCCAACACCTGATTGTCACACAGAATTTGGGCATTTCATGGAGTGTTTCGGTCTGCAGCCTTCCTCCTTGTGGGCCCATGGGGGTGCTTATTTGAATGCCCCCTTCCGTCTGCGGCCCTTCTAGGTTACCCATCTTCAGGGGGGCCCTGCTCATGCGCTGGAGGGCCAGGAGCCCGGGCAGCCGAGCTGAGGGTCAGTCAGTGCTGATACAATTGGAGCGGCATCTTCCTCTGAGAGACAGACACGCAGCCAAACTGGCCAAGGCCCTTCGGACGAAGCCCGGCCGATCCCTTTGGTTTTCCTTCTCCCTGAATTGAAGGGAGGTGAGATTTGGGGAAGAGGGGAGTCTACGAGAACCCTTCAGGCAGGTGTATTCCAAACTGCTAGTGGCTTTGCTCTTAAGCACCTCAACCAGAAGTCCAGGGAAGCCACTGAAATCCAGTGTTGCTTTCAGGAGCCAGAAATTGAAGGCTTTTCCCTGCTCGCAAAGGGTGCTTAACTGATGTTTTTAAGTGGCCACATGACCATCACACCTCCCTCTTAGTCTGTCCCACCACAGGACATGCTCAGCGGGGGGCAGGGGGCACCCTTCAAATCAATTCGACTCCTCAAAAATGCCCAGAAGCTGTGCAACAAGGCTCCCAGGGGCATGTACACTGCAGATCGGTTGCCCCTCGCCTGGAGGCTAGGCTTATGGGGTGAGGGCAGGAGCCGAGGAGGCGGAGCAGAGGGGATGCCTCATTCCGCCTGCTGGGGGGCGGCTCCCTTTTTCTCTGGTTAAGAGCGGGTACCCCCCAGCCCCAACCAGCCAGTTCACCTAACTAGATGAGAGCAGCCCACCTCGCCGCGCAGGCGGTGAAGTTATTATTACAGCGCAGGACAATTTAAAATATTGTAATTAGAAACTTGTCGGGAAGTCTTGTTCTTCATTAGTGTACGCTATGAAGCCGCCTCGGAGGTACAAGGACGATTACATAGTCGAGAAGGTGTCTGCGATTTACACTGCGCTGTGTAAATGTGAGGGCGGCTGCTCGGGCCGCGCCTCCATCCACAGAATGAAAAGCACACCAGTGCAAGTTGTCCTTTGATAGATTTTTAATATGATTTTAAAGAGTTTTGTTTGGTCTCATTCTCATTCAATGAGATTAATTTGAAGCACTTATCCCCTGGGTTTAAGTCAGTCCGTGTAGGATTTGGGCAGGGTTTGTTGCACGGGGGGTTTTGTTTGCAGGAGGCTCTGAGAGACTCCTTTCCCACTTCATTAACCCTGAGTTGGGGACAGTCCCCCCGCGCCCCCACCACAGCCAGAGCTGGGGATTTACCAACCCCCATTCACATGCAAAAGAACCCGAAAGCCGAGGGGCTCCTTGACTTAATTAGCTGCTGTGCATTTTGCAAAATTAGAATAATACCCTCGCCGTCCCCTGAAAGGGAAAGGGGTGTGAGGGTGTTGGGGGCTAGGGACTACCAGGGACCGGTGGGGGTGTCCTTTAAGCATGCCCCCCTCCTCCACCAGGCAGTCCTCCCAGAGCCACCACGCCATCAAACAGGGGCTCAGGTTGTTGAGCCCCAAACTTCCCTGCACTGGGCCCTCTGCAGTCCTGGGAATCTGAGCTGCAGGTGGTGTGTGGGAGGGGTGCACCTGCGCCCCCTCCCGGAGAGGGGCCGGTCTCAGGAGGTGACCTTGGCCCTTTGATCTGAACTGGAGGGCTGGAGTCTGGCTGGAGATTTAAACCCCTTCCCCTGAGATCCTGGAGACACAGGCTGGGCCTGGGCCGATGCTGGGGTTTGGCTCCCCTTTGCGTCGCATCTCCTACGTATTCCAGGGGAAAAGGGGAAGGGAGGAGATGCGGGAGTGGGGGTACCCGCTGGGATGTCAGGTTTCCCAAGGCTTTTGGGGTCCTACCCCCGCGCAGGGCCGGAGCCGCCTGAGACCGAACTCGGCCGGGGCGCGGGGCGGAGGGGCTGAGGGGGGAGTAGCCTCGGAGCCCATCTGTCGGCCCCGCGCCCGCCGGGCCGGTCACCAGCTGCCGGCGCCCTTGTTGCGGCCAGATGAGCCGACGGCGAGGGCACCGCAGTCCTGCCCGCAGCCGAGCAAGCACGCCGCTGACCCCCACCCCGGCCGAGACAGGCTGGGAGCGGCCAGGGACCAGATGGAGAGGCGTGGGGGTGGGGAGCAGGGAGCGAGCCTCACTGGAGAGAGAGGGAGACGGGCCAAGGCGCGGAGACCCTGCCCAAGGCCCCGGGACCCGTGGGGGGGCTCTGCCTGTCCACGACCACAGCGCCAAGGAAGAGGGGGACACACATTTTTTTACTGAGGATGGAAGGAGACTGAGTCCCGTGAGGAAAAATGGATCTCACGGAAGGTGGTTAAGAAGGGCTGAGCGCGGATAGGCGCCTGGTCATTTGTAAGAAGTTTATTTCGACATTTAAAAAAGAGAGAGAGAGAACCCGGGGGGCCTGGCTGCTCCGGACAGAGGCTAGAGATGGGGCTGGGGCGGGGTGGGTGGGCACGCCCCCTCGGCCCCTTCCTGCCCGCCTGGGAGCGGGAGGGCACAGGCCACAGACTCACTGATTCACGGACACGGTCACGGGCTCATGGGTCACGAATAAATAACTTCATGTACACTTTACACACCGTATGTACAGCTCTGCGCCGGCCCGGCGCGCGGGGCGGGGGCTCCAGCATCCCCTCCGCCGGCCAGGGGTGCGGGGAGGGGCTCGGTGTACAGCTGGAGCGTGGAGGGGGAGGGGAGAGCCGCTCGGGGTCCCCCGCTGCTTCCGGGAAGGGCAAGGGGTGCCTGTGGAGGCCTCGGGAGGGGTGTGATGCGTGTACATCCGCGGGTGGAGGGCTCCGCGGACTGGCCAGGAAGGAGGGCGCCGAGGGCGGTGAGGGAGGCTCGGTCCGGGTCCGGGCCTCAGTAGACTTGGCATCTGGCCCTTCGGGGAACAGTGGCTGGAGAGCCGGACAGGGGACCCGGGAAGGGGCGTTAAGCCCGCGCCCTCCGAGAGGCAGGCGGAAGGGGCAGGCGCTTCACCGGGGCTGCGCGGCGCGGGGCAGGACGCCGGCCAGCGGGGGCAGCGGCGGGGGCGGCTCGCTGGCGCCCTGGAGTCCGTGGATGAGGATGCGCGGCACCAGAGGTCTCTGCAGGGCGGGCGGCGGCGCGCTGGGCCCGCGGTACAGATACAGCGCGGCGCCCGGATCCAGGTTGGAAACCAGACTCTGCGGGTAGAAATACGGCGACGGGAACATTCGCTGGAGCGCCGAGTAGTTGCCCGCCTCCGCCAGCAGCTCCAGCCCGACGGCCGTCTGTCGCTTCCATTTAGTCCTAGAGACCAAAATAAATACACATTGTGGGGTCAGGGCTGTGGCGCCCGGACACCCCGGCCCCTCACGGTGCCTGGCCCACGGCCCACGGCCTGCGGGAGGCCCGGAGGGGTCACCCCAATGTGTTAATAACCGAGCGCCAGGCACCGTGCGCACGTGGTACAGGCATTGGCTCCTTCAAACTTCCACCAGCCTTCCATTGTACAGGTAACAAAACTGAGATATGGGCCATTTTTCCAGGTGGTCTCGAAAGTTGTAGAGCCCCAGTTCTAGGCCAAGCTGTCTGACCCCAGAGCCT